GTCTCTGTGTATAAAAGGTGCTCCCCGTCACTGAAGATACTCAACACTTTGCTCTATAGCTTTTCTAGTTCTACAGTACCCTTTTTTGCAATGAGGTGACCAGAACTGCAACCGGTGTCAAAGTTGGGCATGGCAGTATAATTATGTTTTCTGGGTTGTTTTCAGCTTTTTCCATTACAATTCCTAACATTCCATTTGCCTTTTTAACTGCCACTGAGGTTTAAATGAACATTTTTAGAGGACTGTGTACAGTGAGTCTAAGCTTTTTTTTTTTCCTGAGATAATTTAGACTCTTATTATATGCAGGTAAAATTAAGGTTGTTTTTCTCCATGTGTATTACTTTGCTTGTATCAGCATTTAATATCATTTGCCATTTTGTTGGTTGGTCACTCAGAAACATGCAAGCCTCCTGTTCGTTGTCAGTTCTAAGTCTGACTGCTGAATAGTTTCCTGTCATTGGCAAACATTACAGCAGAGATTTACTCATGTTTTAGACTTCAGCTCTTGTCTTGCAGATACATGTTTGATCTCATCTTATACAGAAGTGGGATATGTTTTATGAAAATGGGCAAATTAGTAAAATAAGAGTCTCTCTGTTTGTTTTCTGCTGAAACCTATAGCATCTTTTTTATCTTCTCTTTGCTCTGTTGAAACTCGGGGCTTTCAAATTATGATGTAAAGGCCATCTTTTATCTGGCATTTGTTTGAGAGGCTGATTATGGAGATATTATTCCAAGTATTTGCAGAATTTAGGTCTGAGACATGGAAATGTAAGAAATTCTTTAAATAAAAAAGAACATTAATAAAATAAGAATGATACTGAAATTGACATGGGGGAAAAAAAACCCTTTACTACCTTTCCTTTGATTTTACAAAGTTAAGAGCAGTGGAGGATAAAGAAACTTTAAAAATTGTACCTCTCTGTATTTTGCAATATTATTACCAATATGAGTTTCAATGGGATAACTACTGAGTGAAAGTATATACACTATTTTAGGCAATTAAATAAAAATTATCCTTTATGGTTTTATAATCCAAGCGTATAACAGAGCAGTGTAACGAGTGAGGAACTTGTGGGGCTCCCTGCTTAGACACCGTTGGAAGTTTTCCCAGGAACTTGCTCTCTTTCCTTCTTTCCTTCTTTCCAACAACCATTGCAACAAGACTGAATGAAATATATCTACCACCACGTAGGATGCATTTTAACTTTAATGAGGTTGACAGTGCACTAATTTGATGTAAATAATATTAACTGTTAAACTCAGTTTCTTCTCTTAAGTGAAAAGACGACAAATTTAAGGCTAAGATTATGTTCTCTTTATTTGATGTAGTTTCAACTACTTTTCTATGGAAAGATGGCTTGTGATTGAGCACTGCAAATGCACACCGCTTTTCAGCAGTTCAGAACCAAAGTCCACAGAAGTCCATGGAAAGAATCCTCTTGATTTTAGTGGGGCCTGGTCAAGTTAATAACTGGAAATCTGAACATTACTAGTGAAATTGAAAGTCTGAAACTACTGAATTATATTCACGTATACAAGTTAAATTTCATTCTATTCTTTTTGCAAGTTTTGGAATCACACTAATTTATCAAGTAGAGTAGGTCTAGCAGCACTTACTTACAGTGTATACTTGTTGTATTACTCCTTCCAGAAAAAAGCCAGTAAAGCTCTCTGAAGCTCTTGCTCAAAAGCCCTTCGAATCTGATGGAAAATGTACTCTGATATCATTGGACGTTAGATCAGAGGCTGAGTGATTATCAAAGGAACAGCACAAATTGATTGACAAGGTGAGCCTTGTGGCTTCAAATTAGCCACTAATGGCTTGGCTTCTAGAACATATTCTGCTATGATAAAAGTGAAAAACAGATTATGTAATAGTTGTTCTGCAAAATTTCCTGTCAGTCCTGTTGCTCTGGTAAGCAACATTTTGAAAGGACGCTATTTCATTACACTGTGCTCAGCATGAAAGTCATCTAAATGTGAAGAACCTTTATACAATTTTGCATCTTCTCAAACCTTTCCTTAGTCTTCCTGAAATATTTATTCTTTATGGGCCTAGCATTCTGGCCCTGCTGCATCAAAGCTCTTAAGTAATTATCAAGCATGTGTTCAAGTGCTTTGCTGGACTTTAAGGAGATCTTGTGAATTTGTGCAGAACAGTTAAACTTGTGTTGTTCAAAGTTAAGCTACAGTTTCTGGGCTGGTTTATTATAGGTGAATAATATGAAATGTAAAATGAACATAAATCTATTTCATGTCAATGAAAACATGGACAGGAGTAAAGACTTCCACGGAGCGTAGAAGCACAGACAGATCATCCCTCTGTGATATAAGACTGTAATGGCAGCTATCTGCAGGCACGTCCCTGTGCTTCTCAGAATCAGGGAGCTGAAGTGCTTAATAGGCAGTATTTGCTTTATTTTACTGTAACTTTTATTACTATAGATACAGCATAATCTAAATAATTAACTTGGGTTTGGTATACTGTTGTGTATTTAATTTTAAAATGCTATTTAAAGGGAAATAAAACAAAATGTAGTTGCTCCTTATTTTTATTTTGTCATTTACCTACAGAAAATTTTTACCAAGGCAAGATTTTACAATGCAACATCACAGGAAAAAAAAAAAAAAACCCAAGAAGGAATAAAGCTGTTTGCCATTTATCAGATTAGTGCAACCAATATTTCTCATCTTTTGGTCATTTAGATCTTTCATTTAGAATTCAGTCTAACTTTATACTACAACAAAATAAAAATGTATTTTTTTTTCAAGATTGGTTTGTTTCCTCTGGTGAAGGTAGATTGTCAAATGCTCCCGCCTCTGCAAAAAGGAAAAAAAGAAAAATCTGAGAATTAACAAATATGTAAGTATGCATATTGATCTGAGCAATTAAATAAAAATCCCATTTCAGTAGTGTACATTTTTTTCTTCTCTCAGCTGTAAGAGAGAATTCTTGTACTTCTCATGGTTTAATTTCTAAACTGTGGATTTTCTTTTGAATATTAATGATCTCTTCCTGTTTAAATTTTCACTTTTTGAAAAAATAGCAACAACTTTCCTCATGAATTTTACCAGTTTCGTTATGTCAATTGATACAGCTGAATCCCAGCATCTCAAAAGTTTTTACGTTATCCATTTAGGGCCATCATCCTACATCCAGCTGTAGATGAGCAAGCTTTTAAACCTGCAGGGAGTCATTTTTAAAAGAAAGAGCTAAAGGCCACTTTTTAGTCATCTCTAAGATATTTCTTATAACGATATCAGTTTAAATATTCACTTTATTTTACAGGTGGAAAATTATGTCTAATCTGAATAACCATTCCCTGAATCACATGGTCAGGATTATTTTTTTCAAAGGGAAAAATATTTAAATCAATGTATTTAATGTAGTAAAATGAAATCGGAGAAGTATTAAAACACCTGTACTTCATTAACACTAGTATCAAAGCAAAGCATGTTTTTTCACCTTGAAAATCCAAAGTTCTGATTTTGTGTAAGAGTTTGTACCAGGTCTTGTCAATAAATATTGCTAAGGAAGAATGCAATAACAGAATTCTGTGTCTTTTGTAACCTAGGAATGCAAGAACCTTCTCAGGAAAAAGCCATTTTATGTGATCTGGAGAGTCCTTTTTCATCTATTGTGAGGATAGATGGTAACATTAGATTCTATTGTGACTAAAAAGAGCTGTTTGCCATTACTGTCCTAAACAAGGACTTGTCATTCTGCAGGTTACAGTACAGCATTTTTTTGCTCACTTGTCCCAGGGAGAAAGTAACTTGTATTTCTATGAGATGTATTTTTTTTCTTGCCTAACTCAACAGCTGTTAGCTTGCAAGTCAGAGCTCAGAATGTTTCACACCCTTTCTTATTTTGCCCAGTTGTTAGCTTTGCATTCTGAGCTCACGAAGCAGGATGTTTCTATAGCCCTAAGCTCCTTTTTCCTCATAGCGGCACATTAACCAAATTTCTTTTTTGTCCACAATGAATATACAGAGGCCAATCTACTTCAAACATATTTGAATTACGTTAGGCCCTTAATACAAGAGTAATGTTCACAAGTATTTTATCTGTACTAATCATAAAGAGTTCCTGTAGCATATGCAAAGTTGGTTAAATAAGCACTGTGTTGAGGTTTTCTGTGGGCTGTATCTACCCATTTTGTTTGGGTGGATACAAACCATTTGGAAAGTGATGTCAAAGGTGGCTAGAATTTCTTTTCCAAGATACCTAGGTTGAAAGTGAATAAATCTGAGGGTTTTTTAATAATGAAATTAATAAAGTACAAATGTAACAACTAGCTCTTTGGTATTATTCCACAGCATACTTTTGCTACAAATTGCTTATAGTTGTATATGAAGGAAAGAATATAGAAGTTAGATTTATTGAATTGTCTGCTTTCTGAGGCAGAGAACCTCAATCCACTGTTTACAGTGAAAATATCTTTTTTGTTATTTTCTTTGCAAGAACATTTACTTTTTTTGTAGACAAGAGCTTTAGAAGGGCTGGAGAAGATACAAAATTCACAATTTGCTTTGGCTGAAGTGTTTTGAAACTTGTTCATAATTGTGATTATAAGAAAAACCTCAGGAGAAGCCAGGTTTCTTTCACTTGAAGCTATAATAAAGTTATAATTCTTATAGAATCAGCTGTGAGCTCATTCTATAATTCTGTCACAATTCTAATGACTCCACAGAGAGTTTTACTAGCTGCATTTTGAGCTGTTGTTACCATGCAGCTGAGTGTTGTTGCAGTGTTATTGTGCCTTTATTGTAGAAGGCATGCAGAAGGGGGAGATGTATTTCTTTGTTATCAAAATAAACGTTTCAGAATTTCTACCAACTGTTCTTGACAATAAACTAAGGTTTTGCTTAGTATAAAACAATTTGATATTAAGTTATTTTCAGCTTTTCTAAAAGTTAGGTCCATACAATTTTAGTAGTATATATTATTCTTCTTACAGTGCCTAGAAGAACCAAATGGTATTTGAAGCCTGCTGTGTTGGAGATTCGTTCACATGCGCTGCACTAAAATGGAACTGGCAGTCTCTCTCCAGAGATGCTATGCTCTTCAAAGTCTTACAAGCACAATTCGGTAGCAGAGACTTGTACGTTCAAGAAGAGTCCATCTTCTCAATAATTTTTACACAGATCTTCAGTGATTCTGCTAAGTGTAACCAGATTAAAAAGGCGTTCGCTAACCTTTAAGGTGCAGGTACGTCAAAAATTCAATTACTGTGCGCACAATGTTTTCATCAGCCAGTGGTCTTCCAAGATTACCTAGAAAACATGTTGGTTATTACTTAATGTTAATCTGATAAAGATTCAGCATATGTACCATTGTGGCTAAGTTTGTAAGCACTTAAAAAAAACCAATCTGAAAGAAAATCCTTAAAGTCATTAATGGAAAACACCAACATGGAAAATTTGTCCTACACAAGGAGACATTTCCTGGAAGAGCAAAGCAACTCTAAAGTAATTGTAATTCTCAGAATCAAAGTTGCTCAGCTTTTTTTTTTGTTGTTGTGTAGGAGCTACTTTGACACCTTAATTGTCATTAAGGCCATGTGAATGCTGCCATAGAAGAGAGATATACCCTGTTTTCAACTCTTTTCCTCTGTCCTCTAGCATGGCATTGAAGGAAAAGGTAAGTTTAACAAGTTCACCAGCTTTACAATAGTTAAGTTACTCATGTAGTCTGACTTTGTTCCCAATACATCACTCACACGATACAGAAGTGATGTGCAGTCTCAGCCAGTACATCTGAGACTTGACTAAAGGCTCAGCAGCATATGTTTTTTGCATGTGTATCTAGTACAATACACTCCCCTTCAATCTTGTGAAAGTAGGCCTTTTGATGCCTCTTAAATGGCCCAAATTATGAAGCTCCCCGGGAGCTTGTTGTTACACTCTGTAAGGTTGAACAGCATGTTTAATGTGTCTAAAAAAATGGTATCTCTTTTTTAATAATTAAGATCATGGAGACTTGTTCTATATTGGAGAACAAATGGTAGACAATTTCACTGTGGTTTTTAGTTCTCTGCATATAGTTGAAGGAGACAAGTACCAGATTCTCTAACTCAACAATCCATTATTGCATCGCTGAGCATTCTGCTCCATGACGGTATAATCCATGGGCTGTGTTTCATCTCAGAAACTAGTCTGAAAGGCTGGGTCTCTGCAGCAGATAAATCTTGGGAGAGTTCTTCCAAGGCAGAAGAGAAGATTTAGGTCTGCAGTGTCATACAGGTCAAAATAGAGACTGAACTCTGTAGCCCAAATGAAAAATATTGATTGGGAGGGCTGTAAGGGTTAGGGAGATTTCTGGACATGTACAGAGAGTGAGAATCTAAGAAAGTCTGTGGGAATTTGCATCTTGATGTCTTGTCTTCCAGTCTCACTCCACTGAGCTAGCACATAAACATATTTCTTACATTAGTTATATTTGTATTTTCATTCAGATTTTTTGATCACAACAAAAATGAAATTAAGAAAAACTTTTGTTACAGAATGGTATGATTAAGCAGTGTTACATTAGTGGTTCATCAAGCCACAGATTTATTAATCATGTGATATATATTGCATAAATATTATTAGATATGAACATATTATATACAGAATAAGGTCAATAGAGTATACAGAAAGGTATAACCAGCTATTCACAGACTCTAAATTCAAAGAGCATAACTGTTTCATTACTAAAGATTTTCCTAATTTTGCAGGTAGATTTTTTTGACCTAGTGTTATATGGCGCAAACAGCTTAAAAATTCTTCCAAGTTGTCTGGAGAGCTTGTACATTCTGCAGTATTCCTTCAAGAAGGAGAACAGCCCTTTGCCTCAATTCTTCTAGAATAATAGTGTGTAAGTAGATTGCTATTTTAAGACAATTTAGAGAATCAGTATAATTTAATGAAAAAAAGCATTTGGGTTTTAATTTAGAAAGTTCTGAATACCTTATCCAATTTTACATTCAAATCACCTTTTGGTAGGAACTACATAAGGAACTTGGGAACAAACTTTTGTTGAAAGAATAGCGCCTGAAATGAGCGAGAGGCAGATCTGTGATTGCAAGGTGTCATCCAGACAGGTTCGATAGTAATTGTGAACATGACAGCAGTACCTCACAGAAGTAGCAAGGAATTCCTTTTACAGTTCCATAGCTCTTAACATAAAGATCATACTGCCATCTTCTTTATAGAAGTATGCCCACAAATGGCAGTGTGCTGCATTGTGAGCTGTATTGTTAGATAACAAATGCTATCTTCCTTTCCTGTTGTTTCTGATTGGCAAAATAATTTTTTGTATTTGAGGAAATAGTTTTTTTGCGCTATATAACTACATACCAGAAGTAAACTAGCTACATCTAAGAAATGTATTAATATACATACTCATTCCATAAATAGTGTTATATGGAAGAAAAGAAGAACACTTCCTTTATGAGCTTTTATCTAATATTAGCTATGTCTGCATTTTGTGCTGGCTGGATTTAAGAGAGACTAAGATCTCTTAGGCTGGAACTCCATCCTCCCCTGTTAGCAGGGTGATGAGCATATAATAGTACTTAAGCAACTACTGCTTTCTTTGGTTGGAGTGAGAAACTGACTGCTCTTTGACAATCAGAGGATCAGCTTCATCTTGTCTCACTTTAGATATCTACAGCAATTTAGTTTATCATCAGGAGAAAGAAACAGGCGTTTCTAGAGCTTACTAGATCTTATCCTAAAGTATATGTCTAAAATAGATCCTATTAGTGTCAGCTTCTCTTCACTGGTCATAACAGGGGTCTTGACATATATACTCTAGAGCCCTAGCTTTGGATACACAAGCCTATACCAGATATTTCTAGACAGCCTAACAGAAAGCTAACTACATCCTTTTAATTGCCATTCACTCCTGTACATGGAAAATGGAAACAATACACTTACTTGATTTAGTTTGACTGGTTTCCTAGTCTTTTAATGAAAGAGAATCAATCTTGCTTGAAAACCAGAAAATACTGTGGGATTTAACTTACAATTTTTTAAAAAATGTTGACAAATCATCTAACAAAAACAGTGCTGTACATTTTTG